ATCATGACCAGTCTAGCGTCATTGTTCAAGACCTAGCTGACTCAAGGTCATTCACCATTGCAGCGAGCCGTCCCAGACGCGCTGGCTTGAAGCAACTGGACCGACTTCAGCTTGGACACAACTGCGTCCGCACAGCCGCAGCTATCCATGCGCTACTTGAACGCGCCACCCCCTGCAATCAGCAAAACAAGCCACCGGGACACCACTCCTCGGCAAATGCAACACACGCTGACTGGACACCAATTGAGCTTGGCCCACGAGCCTACAAAAGTCGCTGCCACCACGGTCTCAGGGACTCTCAGGCATGACTGGACGCAGTCAACACCAGCCCTGGCTTCGCCAGTGGCCACTGCCAATTTAGAAGACAACTCCGGGTTCTGTGCACCATAAACCCCTCATTCTGGTGTATTCCGTCCTCTCCTTATCACACTAGGATTCGACCTGGTGGTTGTAGTGCTCAGACTGCACACTTACACAAACACCGCCTGGTCGCAACACATTTCGGTCACCCTTTTCTGCCTAGAGTTACGCCTCGTTGAAATAAGTCGAGAAGTCAGCTTAGAAGTGCAATTAATCTCCGTCTTCGCGATCCAATTATCAGCAACATCTTCATCTTTCACTGAGGCTCTCAGAAAACTACTGTCAGGAGTATTACGAAGTGTCTGGTTCGGTTTAGTTCACATTCCTACGAGAACCGGCTACATCGTGCTTCCGAAGTTAATCTTCCGCCGGATAAGCGCTCGAAAACCGGCAGAATGCAAAGGCTAAATCGTTCTTTGCTCCCAATTGACATTTTAAACTGAATCCCGTCTGGAAACAAACTTTGCTTTGTGCTCGGTAAAGTAGTCACTTACTAATTTAAGTCGTCCGCTGAAGCTTAGTACAATCTCAAAGAGATCTTGCTAGCATGGGAAATGCAAATGTCCATGGTCCTACTTTGTGTGACGAAAGTCCGCCGCATCGGGGATTCGAACCAGGGAACACTCGGGCAAGAACCGACGTTCTTCATCACTCGACCATGCCCGGGCAGCCAAGCGTCTATGAAAATAATATATACTCAGAAAAAGGCGGTCTATCGCTTAGTTATAAGCCATTTTCTATTTCATGCGATAAACATTTGCCGGAAATTTTTAACTCGCATTCAGCTGGGCGTGATGGGCCACCGACCACTAATCCTGAAGAACGCAGTACATTACTGAAATCGATGACAAATAAATTAGATAATGAAATGTCGACACGCTGTGATGGATGTAGAGGATTCACCACCGGAGTTTCGAGACTAGCAGTAGACGTTGATCGCCTCACTAAAATAATAGTACAAATCTCATCTTGTCGCGAAAGTTCAGGCTTCGAAACAACCATCGTAGTGCGTTTTTCAGCCGGACTATCACCCAATCGAACGGATAAAAAACAGGGCGCTGTTAGCGGAATTTACAAAACGCCAGAGAAAGGACGAAGTTAATCTAAAAATAGTAAATAAACAAATTGTAAAAATAAAGCGTCCCTTCTTGTGGAATCATCCGGTAAAATTTACGGTAAAAGCACCAGCGCTCTGTTCCGAAAAACTTCATTAAAATCAAAATCGATTAGTGGACTTGGTACGCCATGTGAAATATCCAGTAGTGACTATCGGTCGAAAGCACAAGAAAACGATTTCCGGAGGTCTAAATAACCGAATAATATGAAAATAATGTACGCAAATTTGGACACATTGGACGAAATATAACTGACCGTGGCCCATTTCCAACCCGACTTGATGGCTTTGACATAAACATGGTTAAATGTGCGGATAAAAGACGCGGAAATTATGCTGGGTGGCTTTTATCTTCTCAGAATGGACCGACCGAAACGAACAATTGCGATATCTATACGAGATGGCATCGACTACGTCAGAGCTCAGCCTTCCCCATTTAACCACATTGGTTGTGAAACACTCTGTTTTTACTTGAAAGTGCAAAACCATCCAAGCTTCCATATGGCCCTAGTTTACGGACGGCCGGGACAGAGCACGGATGCGAACGATGAAATCTTCGCCGAGATAAAACAAATTTTTCAAAGAAAACACATAAGGCACTTGGTGATTTCAACTGTCCAGATATTGAATGGGCCTTGATAAATTGCACGCGATCGGAAAACTCCTTCGAACAGAAATTTATTCAGCTGATCCAACATGTTAAAATGGACACTCGATTCTGAGATGGACAGCAGACCAATTGCTTGGAACTCATCATCACTAGGGATGACAGTTGCATTCTTGGATTGGAATCGCACACGCCCCTTGGTCGAAGTGACCACTGCGTTCTTGTTTGGGAACACCCGAAGTTCGAGCTGCTGAGAAAGGAGACGTATGGAAAGGGGATTATCTCCGGAAGAAAAATCTGCTACAGAAGGTGAACTGGAAATCTGCACAAGCACTTGACCTAGAAAACGGTTGGCTCTCCTTCAAAAACGTAATGCAACACTTGGTAGGCAACTGTTGCCCAATTAGTAGGAAACCGAGCAATTTCCGAGCAAATTGTTAACGTCAGAAATAAAGAAGAGCCTTAGATTGAAAAGGAGAATTTGGAAAAAGTACGCCAGATGTACACAACTAGAGCACTTTCCTGACTTTAAAAAACGAAGAAATATACGTTGGAATCTTCCGAGGAGGAAACGGGCAGAATTTGACTCAAAAATGTTTGACAATATCCTGCAAAATTCCAAAAAATTCTTTAGATACATGAATAAGGCGAAACGCAACCGGGACTGCATTCCCTATCTAAAGGATTGCCAGGGAAATACGCTGTCTGATAATTCAGAGAAGGCGAACCTGTTATCCTATTTCTTCATGTCTGTGTATTCCAAGGAGCCAGCTTTTGATAAAAGGGTTTACACCCCAATTGTTAAATCAAGAAATACAATTCGCACGGTGGCCTTCACAACAGACACAGTAAGGAAGACTTTGAGTGAGATTCAGCCCACTAAATCCCCTCGTCCGGACGGTGTGCTCGCAAAAGTCCTGAGTGAACTCTCAGACCAACTGGCCTCTCCGTCATCCAAGATCTTCAGAACATCGATGGAGACCGGGGTTCTGCCAACAGACTGGAAGAAAGCAAATATAAACCCCATATATGTAGGCGGAAAGAGAACAACCCCAAACAGTTTCAGATCAGGGAATCTCACACGCCTCTGTTGCAAAGTGATGGAAAAGATAATAAAAACGGACTTTATGAAACCTCTTGAAAAAACAACTTGCTCAGTTTTCATCAGCATTGATTTCGAAGGCGTCGGTGCTGACTTAGTAACCTGTTTGTATTCATGAGGAGCTAGACGAAATCAATCGAAATGGGTTTGTCAGTCGTCGCCGTGTACATTTACTTCGGAAAGGCCTTTCATAGTATTTCACACAGACGACTTGTGTTTAAAATACGTCAAATGGGCGTGAACGGAAGTCTGCTGAAATGGTTAGCCGGTTTTCTTACGGGCAGATCTCAAAGTGTGCGTATCGAAAAGGCTAAATCGGAGTGGGCAACCGTTCATTGTGGCGTTCCGCAGGGGAATAATCTCAATTTTACAAAGCGCATTAGAAACGGTGTTTAGCGAAGTTGCTGAGAAGTAGGCTCGGCAGCCCAGAAAACCGGAACAAAACGCCTATTAGAATTGGGACTTACTAAAAAGATATGTCGAGTATGGCTCGATGTTGGGGTGCGTGCTCCTAACTGTGTCATAGGCGGAATAATCGGAATATCATACTGACAACTGTTATCTAGGATTCGAAGTGGTAGTCAATGGTCGAAGCAGGTGTTGAGGCACTGAAATACTACTGATATCCGTAGCGAAAACCTGTTTGTCAAGAACAGTGATGTTCGCTCCCAAATACAGAATGACAAAGTGGACGGACCTTTAATTACGTCCGGAGAAGTTGCTGATCTACATGCTCGATATGAACTGAAATGGGGGTTCCATGCAGGAGACGAAGAGAAGATGCAAGAAAAATCTGCCAAGCAGTGAATCGTAATACAGCAAGTGCTTTCTGGATCGCAAAAATCCGCCATGGTTATTCAGCAGGCTACACACAGCTGTAGGGTGGTCCACGCTCGAGAAATGTGTGACGCCGATATTGTGAGGTCCACTCTTCGAAACCAACCTGTTTCTTATATCTCTGTCAAAGAAGACAGTGGAACTAGTCTTCAAGCTGCCTGACCTTGTCCTCAGACGGTGGCCGACCTATGAACTGTTTGACTAAGCAGCAGATAATAGCTTCCGGCCGGTGCTAGGGCCCACGTTGACTGGTCACAGAAGGCGCTCACTAGTTCCTCATGTTCTCCTTACACATGGCAAGTAAACGAAGATTCCAACCTCTTGGTTTTATCGACTTTCGGTCTTTAGGTGCTCTTGGTGCAAACACTTGCCTACAACGAAACGTGACTGTTCATTGGAATGGAAGATGTGCCATAGGGGCTTACAGTCAAACAGCGTCTCAGTCTCTGTGCTGGAGTGTGTTTAAGCGACCAACATTTGTCAAAACACAACTTTTTGTGCGACAGGGGATGGTTGCTGTTGTCGTAGAGAATTTACTCCGTGGTAGTCGCTTTCCGAAAGTTACCAGTCAATCCAAACTGCCGACGAGTTCGTTAATATTATGTGATTATGCAGCAGAAAAGAATGGATTTCGGCGCCCACATTCACCTCAAATTTTGCGAAAGATCTTATTCCGTTGTAATACCTGTTATAGGCTAGAGTTACGGGTTGGGGCTCAGAGTAAGAAGTTAAGTTTAGGGGTCAGGGGCCAGGGATTAGGCTGGGGCTTGTCCACTGCAGGTACGGCTACGAAATAAGATTCGGCCAACTTTTGTACTAAGTCTAGAGAGCTCCATTCTGGATCATTTATTCCATGCTAGTGCACTGATCTTAGAAGAGACGAAAAAAACCGAATGTCGAAACTGAATAGTTATTCATATTTTACTAGACTGAAATAATGGCGCAAAAAGTAAAATAGAAGTTTGGAGGCCGACGTTATCATGTCGATCCTGAGAACAGGTGTCCATCTGAGCATAATCTTCTGCACTTTCGATAAGCGGCCCTCTTACTGTATCTGACAGATTTGGGTAGCAAAATTTTCACTTAATTACCAACAAGCCGTACACGAAATGAACATGAGTGATGGAGTTGTCGTGCTGGGGGGAGGGCGTGAAGGCTACGAAGAACCGTGCGAACGTTTGCAAATTTACTGTAGGCCGTTAATATTAAGTGGCTGTGTAGGCGATGTTTGTTGACACAGGGAGGGTGAGGTCTCGCGGATAGCTCTTCGCAGATCCTAGTCTAGATTCAGATTTGCTCTTTCTTTATCGACGCACACCAACTTCCGACGAAATGGAGGCAAACGCGGTCGAAATTCGCCCCAGTCTGTGGAGCGGGGGGGGTGGTCGTTACGGTTTACTAAGCAAATTGAGTTCATCTATGAGCCAGTTGTTATTTCCGTTTTATTGTGACCTCGGAAAAACTGGTAGGTACGCTTGCAATCCCCTCACCTCTAGAGAGCTGACACCGGCGATGCGAGTCCCAAACTATGACGTCCGTTTTACTATTTCATGGGAGAGGGGCCTCAAAACGGCTTATAGAGCACTTATGGGTTTCGGGCGTCTCGTTCCAGCGCACTGTCGTCATTGCTGCGCAACACCGTAAATTTAAGTTTCACGTAACTGCCTCCGAAGAGAGAAGCACCATGCTTAGACTGGCCTTCCTGCCAGCGTAAAGCTAGGGTGACTAGCATTCTGTTTTGTATTGGATGAACGAGGTCGACAAATTAGTCAGGTTTTCGATCTATAGAGCATCTTCATCTCTGATCCAGAGATGGCATCTCTCCTGACTAGTGAAATTTAGCTTGAAGATTTAGGTTGACTCTGGACCGCGTTGGCACCAAACGGATAGAGCAAGGATGCAGCTGCTCAATTCGGTGCTATCCGCAGGTTTTTTGTAAGCTTTCAAAAGTCCCCCGTGTACACGGGACACCCGCCCTGTCAATCCTCTGTGATTGTGCTTCCTGGGCTGTGCGCCTGAAGGGCAATCAAGAACTTGCGGTTATCAGACACTGTTGCCCGAGTACAGTCCTTCCTGTGACATACGCAGATTTGTCGAATTAGATGCCCCTCACTTGCTGCAAACAATTCCATGGGCATCTCGGACCATCCTAGAAAAACGACTGAAGTGGTTTTATCACTTTATCAGTCTTTCCCGCAAGTTCAACGCCTTGCCCTTAATTTCGAACCGCCTCTTATTAAAGGCAATGAAAAGACCAATTTAACACCTCTTTGGCAGATTCTGTCAAAATAATGTGACTGGTTCCTATACCTATAATATTGAGCCTTCGTCTCTGAAATCGATAGCGGGTTTATTTCACTGGGTCTACTACCATAGTTCGTCAGTCGTGGAGAAACACATTGGGGCCAGGTTGATAAGGTATAATCAAGGCCTCACCTGACCTAAGTATGTAAGCAGTTTGTTCATCATTGCAGAGAGTGCCCATTGGTCACGCCCCCGTTCACCTCTGGCCCAGTCATAACGATTGTGCCACCGTTCAAATCACGGTTAGTTAGCTAATAGACATGTATTTCACTCTAGGGGTATTTTAGTAGATTTCGTGATCTCACCGACGTCTTAGGCCTGTCCGATATAAGTCGCTACTTTGACTCAGCAGCTCTTGCCGTTCTCCAACAACTTACCACTTTTGCGGCCCTAGCGGAAGGGCTGCTTAGTGCTCTCAATCGGGTTGTTTGGCCATACATCGGTAAAGTTATTCGGCTGCATTAACCATTGCGACTCTGATGGGTTAGTTCGGGAATTAATCAAACCGTCTCACCAACCGAAATCTCCAGGGTAACCATTCGATGCATCCTTCTCTGGTTCAGGCTGCATGGCAAGACAAACACTTATGCTTTGAAAACCTCAACTAAGTGTGTTCTCCCAACTTACGTCGGCCTGAGTCACTTTGGTCATTATTAAGAACCAAGTATTCAGGTTTATTTTAACTAATGCATGGTTTTACTCAAGGGTGTTGCTAGATTCGGCACTACTAATCGATCTGCCACCACGTACTTAGCTACGAAGACTAAAACCTGATCGGGTTGATCGGCTGCAGAGTTATCCTTGGCCTTACTGACAAACGGTTAGTTGCGCTAACCAGGATCAGCAGCCCTTCGCTATTGCCGCACATTTCTTATAGTCTAACCTACTTTATTGGTTCACACGGCCCTCATGCAATCCGTACCCGGTTAACTGGTCGTAACAAGCCTATCTAAAGGCCATCTCTTGGATGTAAAACCTTGCGTGCAAACTTCACAGACACGTGGCCTTCACGAATGACTGCATATAACGCTTGTTTACAACGATACGGATTTTAATTCAGCAGCCTAAGCCACTGCATGTCCCGATTAGCTTTATACCACACTATTCAGCACTTAGATTTCTATACATGTTGTGATCTCATCTTAGACCATTTCGCAGACAAACATAAGTCTTAAATCAATTCCTGTCAGTCCGATCACTTATACTGACTTCTTTCAGTTGGGTAGACAAATAGAACTGATGATAATTTATCAAGAACGTACTCACAGTTCTTCAATGAGATTTTTCGCAGAACCGTCTTTTAGTTCAACTTGCCGATAGTGATTATCTTCGAAACAGCTAGTGATTTTTCAAACATTAGAAGCTTTGGATTGATCAGACTCACTTTAAATCGTCTTAAATCGATATATCTTTTCAAAAGGCATATTCATCGTGGCAGCTAAACGCACCCCTTTTGGGGCATTCGGTGGGAAGTTGGCTAATCAGTCGTGTACGGACTTAGCCGAACACGCCTCAAGGGTTTGCTTGGCGGAGTCACGCCTACCGCCCTCAGCCATCGATTCAGTCATTTTCGGGAACGTTTGTCAGGTTTGCCTCTTTCGCCGCATTTCTCATCAGAATTGCTTCTACAGAGCAGCAAGGACACCGCCTACCTGTCACGTCACGTTGGTCTTCGTTTGGGTCTTCCTGAGACGACATCGGCCATGTCTGTTAACCGCATGTGTGGCTCTGGCCTTCAGTCTGTAGCGAGCGCGGCTATGGAAATAGCTGTCGGCCAGTCTCATGCTGTGCTTGCTGGTGGAGCCGAAAATATGTCTCTTGCGCCATTTACGCTCCATGGACCTCGTTACGGTGTGCGCAGGGCGTCAGATATGCTGGTGAGTCGTGCGTCACCTCTTTCAATCCCGACATTTAAACAGTTTCAGTGATATTTATTGCCCATGTTTTGTTTGGTTTTTGACCGCGGGAGTAACTTATCTGATTTTGACGTTGCTTTTATTTTCAAACTTCCCGTATTGCGATGCATCAACTAATACATTTATATTCGTTTACCTTTACACAGCACGTTATATTGCCACCAACTGAGACCTTTTCATTGTTTACAGCCACGTGTCGTCTCTCAACAAATTCAGATACTGTCGTCCGTCTCAGATGGACATATTTTGCTTTAGTTAAGTCCTGTAAGTTTTAATAAAGGGGTCATAGTCTGAGTGTTTTTTTGCGGTCCAGAGGCGACTGCAACCTTTCATTGCCACAATTACTCACATTTTCGGTTGTTCCCAAAGTGACAGTCACAAGACAGTAGCTAAGACAGAAAGTAGCTGCGGTTGGGTGATGTGAAAAACGACTAAAAGAAGCTGGTACTTAGTCATATTTTGTCGATTTAAACGATTCCCATTAAAGCTAATGTGTCTTCGAGGCGCTCGCCTGTAAAACCATGATCTTAACGACTGTGGTCGCCTTTCGGCAGGAAACAATCAATGATCATTGTAGTGCAGTTTATAGAGGGGATACGAATAAAGGGAAGTCACTTTGCTTCTTTGAATTAGGGCACTCAAAAATTTTCTAATGTACAGGGTTACCATTAGCCATATGTTGGCAGACCAGTAGCTGGCGTGACGGCGAAAAATGAAGATTAGTATAAGGCAAATTAAATTCGAAAAGGAAAACGGATGTTTCGTTTCCGGAAAAGTCACCAGGACCCGACATTGTCCTCCTAATACAACGATACATATGACAGCTCTGGTGGAAATGACCTTTATTTCGCCCTATATTAGAAGGCAAATAATGTGCCCTTGAAACAATAACCCCTTTCCCGCATCGGGTTAAGAAGCACAGTTATTTGCATAGCTTTATTTGCCGTCTGTACCCTAATGCTCTACTTAAATTCAAACAATACATTTCCAAATCCACCATAAAAGAGTTCCTTTTACATTCCCCCCCCCCCAACAACGAAATTTATCGTAGGAGACAAAATCTCGCACATGGGTAAGGCCGACACGACAACCCGTTCTGTCGTAGGCAGATCTACCGTCGGTAATCAAAATGACAGGGGCGACCAAACCCTTATTTTCATTGCAAATAATAGACTGCAAGTGGCCGATGTTGGGCCTAATCACGCGCAAAGACGTCTGCACAGACTGCCAACCTTTTAATGAGCAAGTGCGATCCTCGGTTGCAGCCCATTGCCTGAAGCCGACAGTTGCAGCGACGCATTGCACACATCGAACTGACTTAACAGTGCCACTGTTTTTCTTCCTCGAAGCGTTTGCCATTGCTATTCCCTCTCAAAAACCGAACTTTCACGAGTATGAAGGCCGAAAAACAGTCCTACCGCGTTGATCTACTGCTTGTTGTCGCGTCTCCATTGTCAGCCTGCCTTTTCGGTATTAGTTAACGAGCAATCCCACGATCTCTTAAGCCGTTAAAGTAAAAAACAGTTCTTCCTGCAAAAAAACTTTGCTGAGTTGCCTACATCATCACTGATTCTCCCAGCGAGAACCCTGCAACGACTGCCGCTGCAATGCCCCCGTCCCCCACATGACTGGATTTGAGCAGTAATCCAGTGCCTTCTAAACAATGCTGCCGAGTTTTTTTCCCTGAACTGGAGCAACGTCGTTATGCATTCTTTTTCAAGAGGGCGAAGTAGGATGGCAGAACTTCTGATTCATCATCCTAATCGGTGTTGCTACGTTGATTTTCGGGGGTACCTACCTGAGTACTTTTTGCTCTCTTTGCATTTAGCCTCTACAAATCCAAGTGATGCCCGTAGGCCTTAGCTGTTGGTCAACCAAAACCCAGTTGAGTAGTAGCTCTCCGGACACTGGTTGTCTAAGACAGGTTGTTGTATAGATAGGTTATTGTGGTATCTGCTCCACAGTTCGACCGTCGCAAGCGACGGCCCTCACCGCTGCCCTACGAGATAAGTTCAGCAACTCTAACTTGCTTGCGTATTGTTTTCTAGTGAATTAGGCTTGTAACGCATCCAGCTCACTCTCTTCTCCCACACCTCCCTACTCTGGTTGCGAGACAAGTGGGTGCGAACTCAATGGCCGACAAAGCTAAACTGTCCGTCCACGCGTGCCACTCAAGACTTGATCCTCACTTCATGTATCAGGTTACACCAAAATCATGCTCCCCACCTCAATGAAATGTACATGCGGCGTTTCACCCTGTCACACTGGCGCTGGCAAATTGGATCGCATACGTGTTGTAGGAGTGATGCGTACTGCTTTACGGGGGTCGCGTATGTCCTTGTTGTGGAATATTTGCCCGTTTAACCTACGGGGCATGTCCGTGCGCAGGCAGGTCGAGGTGTTGTGTGGAATCTGAAAAGAGTCGTTTTACCGAAGATGTTCATGGACGCACATTACTTCCGGATAGGCCCATGCAATGACTGAATGTCCTGGGGCAGTGTGGTCCAGTTAGACGGGTGTGGCGGGTATATGTTGGAGTTCATAACACTGGCTCACTTGTCTCATTACGATGGATCCGTATATGACCGACCAGACCGATGTGTGACTCAACCGTACGGTCGCAGTGGGGGCAAGCTGACACTGCCTACGGAGATGGTGGTAGCGGTGATATTAATGCCAGTCGTAGGATAGGTGTGTAGTGTGGGAAAAGGGTGGGCCATTGTGAAATTGGGGGAGATAACGATGCACCGTGTGCACCTATGGCCGAACTGCGCCATCCGGTGTCTGATTGTTCTATAGTAGTGTGGACAGGTTAGACGGATACGAAGAGTGTATATCTGGACTCCAGGTACTGCTACCTAAGCCGGAATGCGGTGGACTAGCAAGTGACCGATCAGACAGATGCGTGACTCGTAAGTGCTGCCACAATCGAAACAAGTTTAACATTAGTCAACAGGGCTGCTGGTAGGAGCGATAGTAGTGGTGCGGGCAAGATGGAGGAGATTTCATAATCAGTGACACTAACGTTGGTATTGTTTTATGGGACGGGGGTAGGGTTCGTCGTGTTGACATTACACTGGGTTCGGAGATGTCCGACGAGGCCTCTCCACGCCTGAAATTCCCTTTGGCAATGTGGATATGTTGGCAGACTGTGTTGTTGGTCCGCGGCACTCTAGTCTTGTATGCTTGTCTTTGGGTCTTGGTAGCAGTCATTCTGTTGGCTTCGAAATGCCTGCCGACCTTGAGTGACGTCCTCCCAGCTCTTGGGTTTGGTTCCCGGATGCCCTAGGGAGGTATTTAAGACATCCCAGAAGCGTAGCCTTTGTTCGCCTCGTTTGCAAACACCCGTGGCTGCATCGTTTGAGCAGGCACTGGTTATCCATTTATGATGTGGCTGCCACATCGCACTTGTATTTGCCTCAACACGGCAGAACTACTGAAAACATCGGCCCTTTTTAGGGCTCCAGTGTCGGTGATTCTTTTTCTGCTACTTCACTTTCAGCATTCTCAAGAGGCAGTTAGGATGTACATGACTGAACTTTCTTGCTTAGTCTTCGTATACTGTCCATTTCTCCACTACGTACGGACGTGTAGTCAGAACTGCAACTCTGGACATCCTTAGCTTTATGTTGAGGAGCATGCAACAACAATTCCAGGCGCAGTGCTGTAACGGACCGAAGACTTGGCTGGCTTTAGAGATCCTGCTTGCAATTTCATTTTCGACCCGGATATTTCTTGATGTGGTATTCCCAAAGTACACTAATTTGTCTAAATCTGCTAAACGAGCTCCATTCTTCTTGGTCTTCGGCCATTGTTCCCATCAGATGGCGCTGGTTGGTACGTAACCGCCCTCCATCTGCCATCTGCGAACAGGAAGTTGTCGATCCTGGCCCTGTAAACTTGCGTAGACGTTTGCACGCAATGGGTGTTGTGCAGTTTTCCGTCGGTTCAGTGGGTTATGTTTATCCCTGGTCGCTTCTTGCTGTAGGCATCCATCCGCATGCGTGGAAGATAAGACCGAATGGTATGGAGATGAGAGTACAAAGCTCCACTTCATCTCATTTGTCACCGGGAATGCTGCAAGGGTTGCCCCTTTTTCGGTTTCGCGCGCAATCATCCTATGGTGCAGTTGTTTTACAGTTCGTATGAACCACTGTAGACACTCAAAATTCAACATGATCTTCTACATTTCTGCATGGTCCTCTGTGCCAGAGTCCTTTTTCAGGTCCATAAGGGCGGTTTAGAGGGTAATACTCATTTCCTGGCACTTGCGAAGGTAATGCCTGTGGTTCCCCTTCGTTTCCTAAGTCCGCACTGCTTTTCTGGAAGGAGTCTTTTCTCCACATGCGCATCCGGCGAATGAGTAGGACTCGGACGACGGTCTCGCTTGCAGTGTTTGTGAGGTAGAAGCCTCTAGTTATCACCGGGTTTCAGTTCCTTTTACGTCTTTATACGTGCCCGAGGACATTTTCTTTGAAGCCGGGGTGGGTTTTTCCTTGAAGCAGTGAGCGGTTAGCATGCTTGGCCATTAATTCCGGCCTCCATTATTTGTGAATTTCAGCTAGACCTGCGTCTGCGTCCGGTGCCTTTCTGCTGAACGGTTATTGCATGGCGTTGGTTGTCTCTTGAAGGGAATGCGGAAGATCGAAGTCGTCATTGGTTCCCACCTTAATAAGTCGACTGGTGACCTCTTCGCAGATTATGAGTGGACTGCTTAATACGTCCCTGAAGTGCTTGACCCGGGGTTTCATGATTTGCGACTTCTCCCACAGTAGGATTGCGCCGTCTTGATGTAGCAGTCACGCAGTCCTTTTGAGTTGGGGACCTGCAGATAGCATTGATGGCCGTGAAGGAATTCTCTATCTCACCGCGTTCGGCGTATCCTGAATTTCTTCTGCCTTAGGATGTAGCCCATCATTTTGCATATCCTCCAGCCTCTGCTACACCAGACTCCGGCTTTGGGAGCACGCAGCCTCGTTGGTGTTGCTGCTGTTGGTGGTATGGGTCCACCACCGCATTTAGCCGTGTCGTTACACCTGACTCGGATCCCACGGAGTGGGAATACCTGACGGGAAGCAGCACCTTTCCGTCCCTCTTTTAGCGAGCTGGTTACTGAAACATATAAGCGGTCTCGGAGATACCGAGGTGGCGATCCATCCGGCCAGCGGAGCCGAGTTACCGTATGCGGAGATGCACGCACGGATACCCTCACCTGATTTAGCCCGCCGGTCGAGGCGGGTACCGGGCTGTGGCCACTAAGCTGAGCCTAGCTTCGGGAAGCAACAGGTGAGAGCTGGGTGTCAGTAAATAGACGCTAGGCGTAGTCTACATCTGCAAGCAAGTAAGCGACCTACTACAACCGTCACGTGGACCCACAACTGGACACCCCTACACCCCAGTCCATCCAATCACACCCACGAACAAGGGCCTTCAATGCACCTGCAGCGTGTGTACTCGCCCACGACACACCCTTTTCCGCCAACCTATACGCTATGTGGAGTTTCTAGGACAGTTCTGGTGAGTATGCTGGACGGCAGACACTGTGTGTCTTCCTACCAGCTCCATGAGTTGTGCGGTGTTCTCTGCACTGCATTCCGCGAATACGGACATGTCCATAGGGGCAAGTCCTCGAAGACTTCGCATTGCTGCTGAATTCCTTTGAGGAAGCATCATCCCTTCTGACCTTTTCGTGGCCCAAAAATTTGACCTGAAATTGAACCCTGGAAGGGACAAGATACTCGCCGACAGC